CCTTGCAGATTACTTGAAACGTACAATCCGCTCAAACCGGATGATCTGCGTTCACAAGATGTTCCATTATTGAGCATTCTAGTAGAGACTATTTTCAATCAAGCTGGATAATGTTTTCCAATTCTACTAGATAAAATACCCATCCAAACACCTATATATCTGGCTCCACATGAACAGGCAAATCGATAAACGCATAAGATACAAGTCAAATGTAACTGTTTGTCCTTCAAACTGTTGCTGAACATTGTTCGTCTCGAGAAAACTAGACAAAAAGTTTCTGTGAGGAAAATTTCTTTTAAGAGAGTCTGAAAAAGAGCTGTTTGCTGAACTAATCTTTCTTGTTTGATGTCTCGATGAGTATATTCTGTCTACCTTAACAATATATATATATATAGTTTTTCCTCACCAGTATGAAAGTGCATGATGAAACAAAGAGATTGCGATAACTACTCAGGCTTTGACAATACTTTTAATTATTTTTTTCAATATATTAGTCTCATTACTTTACTCAGATACATTCATTCAAATCAGTTAATAATGAAATAACCTATTTTTAAATTCCAGACAGAGTTGTAAGATTTTATCAGTGTGGAAATTATGATGTGTTTTCGTAAATTTACTCTAGGCTTAGGGAATAATTTTTGAGATTATTTTGGTTGGTTGGTTTCATTACAGTTTTCATTCTTAATGATTAGAAACCTTGAAAAAATATGATAATCGAGTGATAACAGTTGTGAAGTATGTCACTTATATCTTCTAAGTTTTGTTCTTTCCCTTAATTTTGGATGTAAGCTTAAAGCTTTCATTATTGATTGTCGAAAAAATCGGCGAATCATATTTCGTGAATTTATAGTAATTAGACTTATGATTTCTAAGTAATCATTGACAATTTCTAATAGGTATTGAACTCATTTTAAACTAAAAGTCATCATATGGTGTACAAATTTCATAGTATTTTTTTCCGATTAATAATTAATTACATTGTTGATGCACTAGAGAAATATGATGTCACCGTAATTTTCCCATAACTGGTTCTAAAATGGCCACAGTGAGTTTTTAGCTTTCCGTTTGTACGTTTAAAATAAAACGGCGTCAATTAAATCTATCTATCAATTAGCTATGGTAAACTGAATTTCGGACTCGTAGGCACCTACTTGTCTCATTAGCTACATATTTAATTGATGTTTGACAATGTGTTATTTAGTGTCCATTTTTTATATCCCATTTCTAAAATAAGGTTAAGATATTATTCTCTCTGACAATTTTCATTTCTTTTAGCTTAGACGGAAAAAAGTCCAACGTTTATTAGTTTGTTTTATCATATTGCTGATAATGTGCTTCATATATTCAAAAACAATTTCAACATTTAATCTGTCAATCGACTGAAATTTATGACTTCACAGGCAATGAGTGATAATCAAACAACGAATTCAAAGGGTGACATGGTTAGCATAGATACCACTGTTCATTGCATATATCGTTAACCTGATAGGGGAACAAATTAAAGGAATAAGTTCATACTAAGTTAATGAAAGCGTAAATAAAAATAATCATTAGTAAACAGTGCACACACTTGAATAAATTGGAAGATGTATAAAGTTAAAATGGATATTGAAAAGAATGTTTAGTGAACCCTGGTTTTCAACTGTTTACTTAACAATTTCATTTCAACAGAGGTCATTTAAAAAAAATCCACATTTTAAGCTGCAGACAACAACTTACTTATCTCATAAATGAATTGCGTTCATTAAAAAAGAACTACTTTCAATCTATATTTCTACAGAACAAGTAATTTTTATGTCTAGCGTTTAAAGGGTCATATGATCTAGGTTAAAAAAAGTAATTGGCTTCATTTACTAATGTGAATATTATTAGCTTGAATTGCAATGTTGAGGTAACAGTGGAATGAAATAACTAACAAGAGTTGTTGAAACATAACATGAAATAAAGAAAGTATAGATCATAAAATAATACTCACCATACTTTGGTGTCACCTGATAATAATTTTCTTTTAATTTATCAAGCGTATGAAACGTATGCTTCTACTAATTTATGATACATTCATTGTCCAGGTTCCTTCCAGAATAAAACACTAAATCGTGATAAAACTAAAGTTGAAATCCACAAAATTCTTGTTATATACTTTAAGTGATAACACGTTTTTTTTAATATAAATATAAATTTAAAGTTTTTGTCAAATGCAACTTTATTTTTCCATGGTTTTCTTTCTCAAAAAAAGAAAAACTCTGACTCTTAGCAGAATAAAAATCAACAGCTGTTTTATTTTATTTCATAAGGTAATTAAATGGCCAGCATTTTGATACTTTGCATTTTTGTAGACTTCTGATTAACTTTTAGATATTTTGTCGCTTGATGATGTTAAATAACATTTTAACCATTAGTTATGCTGGCTATGTGTATTTGGACAATTCTTCACACATTTTATAATAATAATAATAATAATTATTAATATTATTATTATTATTTTTATTAATTTAATTAACTGAGGGAGAAAAACAACATCACTTTCATTTGTTATATCCGCACTACATGCACATTTTGTAATTATTGAATATTGCGTAAGCAGTGTGCAGTTGTTTTTATTCGTTACGGAGCCATTCAAGTTATTAAGAAAGTAACAAAATGTTAACACAGTAATTTATGACTATTTTGACTAGTCAACTATTGTAAATTAAATTACTGTAACACAGTAAGTAAATCAATTTGCAGAAAATTGTTGTTTATTGCTGTTGTTGTTGTTGTTGTATCTTTTTTTTCGTAATACATAATCAATTTAATTTACATATGACTAGGAAAAAATAGTATAAACTCTTAAGGTTATCTTAGGTGTGGTTGATAATTTTCTTGTTTTTTGGAGATCTGGTTGATAGCAAATATCTTGATATTAATTACAATAACATTGACAACATATATTTACTGAAAGTTCTTAAAAACAATGATTGCTTTTCTTGTTTGAACAACTTCAAGTGAACTTACTAGGTCATTGTTTAATGTAACACCGTATTGTTTTTTGTAAAAAAAAATAAGAAAATAAAACTGTTAATTCACAAGTGTATTGTATTGTTTACTGGTTACAAGCACCTTATTCATTTTGATTTATGATTTACTGAGTGCATTGTAATCTCAGTATGCGATAACACTCTCAGTTTAAATGCTCATAATTATATAAGGATCAAATGCCGAAACTGAGGCTAGTGCATATTATTTAGTTAGCTAAAACATACACCATTTACAATAAGTCATATTGTTGAATTGAGACGAATGATAGACGCACTTCAAACGATTACTGATATTTAATCATCAAGATAGTTTAAACAATAGGTCAGGATAAAAATGTCGATAAATGACTTTTATCTAGGTTATAAATGGTAAATAAATGAAACCGCGTCGCACAGTTAGATCTTTTCGAAATTCACAAACTGACTGAAGCTGAAAATGATGACTATTGATTTATGATTTATTGCTTGACAGTAACCATTTTCTTTCCATATAACTTGAAAGTTATGAGTATTATCCTACGGAAGCTGTTGAGTGTTCACAGTTGAGGTGTGTAAAAATAAAGTAACACTAATTTAACTCTCTTTGGTTTTCATTAACTCTACAAGTGATTCCATTTCTTGACCAAATTTGTTCAAACTTACAACAACGTAGATGCCCAGAAACTTCTTAGGAGATTTATTAAGTATATGTACAATGAATATATATGCTTAGGATGATATTAAAAATATATTAGGATTACGGGGTTGTGAAGATTGTTAAGTTACACATTTTTGAAATCATGAATCGATCAATGTTAGACCACCATTAGAAACCTGGAGCCACTGGAGGACCGTGTCGTCCTGGTATGGGACTCATCAGCAGTGGGCATCCGCGACTCCTGCACTTGACCAATTGATCAAGTTAGACATTAACACCGTTAGATACCAGCTCAGTGGTCCGATGGTTAGGCGTTCGCGCACAGTTCCTAAGGTCCTGGGTCCGAATCCTGCAGGGTGCAGGAGTCGTGGACGCGCACTGCTCATGAGTCCCATACCATAACGATACAGTCGTCCAGTGGTTCCAGGTTTCTAATGGTGGTCTAACATTGATCGATTCACGGTTTCAAAAAAGATGTATTATTTTAAAAAATGACGATACATTATTTAGAAAAAGATGAATCGTTATTTATTTTTACTAAAAATATTGAACAGAACTACTATTAACAAAACTGTTTATAATTAAAGGTGACCGAATAAGTGTGGCCAATCTAGTGATTGTTGTCAAAACTCAGTGTTTCTAAAACGTAGAGGCACTACAAAGATGGGACAAATACTACATCATTCACACATAACAATGATCAATATAAAATCTTTGTTATGAAGCGTAGACCAAGCGATCTATTTATTCAATTTTACGTTGATGTTTGATTTTATGTTTGTGCTCAGTAGAAACTGATGGTCATCATTGGTGATTAGAGTTAGTGTAGTGATCTGAATGTTTCTTTCATGCGTTCATTTTCTTGAAGGCAAGAAAATTCAATGAAATTGTAGTAATGTTGGTATTGATCAGCCTGTCGATTACTTTATTGTGTTATTCATATAATTGATTTTTAAAAAATTCTTACTACCGACAAGAATTTGGCATATTTTTTTTTAATGAAAACAACGCGATAGGCCTATGTCGACTGAAATGTTAACTTTTAGAAAAAAAAGTTAAATTCATTGGTGTGACACGAAATGATCCCAGTCTAGTTACAAAGTTATTAATAGTTTGTACAATGAAAAATATATATATAAGTTACTATTTAAATTCAATAGTTCAAACAAAATGAATATTATACAGCTTCATATTATGCAACAGCATTAAAGCAAAAACGCTTTACTTGTAACCGCAACTTGCTTATTATGAGAAAAAAAAAGTTAATTTTCAAGTTTCTGAAAGTATGTCTAACAGAATTTCGACTGAATAATTGATTGTTACTGTTTGTATTTACATTTCAGTTCTACGCGTTTATATCTACAAGGAGTCTGTGGAACCAAATGGTCAGCGACACTACTTAGCTTATATTTATCAAGTATACAAGGTAAGCTAATTATGTAAATGACATATTTTTACAATTATGAAATTCTTCACTTGAATAATGACACGATTTTTACTGACATTAATTTCACTACAACTCTTGGTACTACTTAAACCATGGGCCACATTCTCATGAATCACAAGCTATTAGTCTCAATCTTTAAGAATTTTCATTCATCTTATGCCATACATTAAAATATGCATATCTGCCAATGAGTTTCGTGTTATTTAACCATAGCATATTCCCAGCTGATATCTCCTGCAAAAAGTCGACTACAACAAGTAAGGATGTCGAATGTCCTTCAAACGTTCAAGGTTAAATTTCTGCATAATTATGTAGAACGCTTTTTAGGATGATCCATATCTCAAACGATTAGTTTTATAAACTTGAGTTTAACTTTGAAATAAAACCATTGTAGAAAGCATATTCAGCAAAGCGATATATTCGCGTAGTTCAAGAGATAAACACATTTCTTCATACGCTAAACAGTTTCTTTACTGGGTTTATGATTTTCTAATAACGTTAACCATCGTTCGTAATTTAATCAAAAAATTGATAAACATATGAAGTTATTTAGTTTATTGACAGTAAGATTTTCCTCAAATTCAGTCAGTTCACAGCCATCATCTAAATGTTGCCAGCTGACAACCGGATAGCTTGTTTACGTGCTTTCTTCCATAGATATCAATGGCAAAATAATATCTTAATAAATTTCATTCTATTGATTAATCCCTTTTACGATGTCCGATTATTCAAAATCTATATTCCTAACTTAATTTTGATTAGGATGCTGTATGGGACATCGAATACGCTTTATTTGAGCTATTGTAGCTTTTTTCTTTTAATTCAGTGAATACATGATATCTTGCAAAATGTAAACATTTAAATTTCAAAATTATTTACAGAATGCTGTTCAGGCAGTTAGAGGGAGATCTTTAGGTGTTATTCATAAACTAAATATTAAAACATTGTTCTGATAAGATTGCATGGAAAGCATTCATACTGATTTAAACGTGTACATGTTTTCACACAAACTTTTCTGGACATTGTGGCTGACCATAGTGCAATATTGCTGTAGCTTTCCTCACCTTTGAGAAATATTTCTTTTATCTACATAAGTCATCAATTTTTTGTCAATCTCTATTACTCAGAGATTAATTTATTGTAGCCTTTATACTATATGCTAAATGCTAAACCTCCACAAAGTTCTCAGAGTTAAATAAATAAGGTGGCTCATAAACTTGAAATCTCAAACTGTGGTATGAATAATTATCAAATAACTAGAAAGGTATAAAAAGGTTGATGAAGGTATCTGTTTCAGTATATTATGCTAATGTAGAACATTTCTCAGGTTTCATCAGAATCTTGAGCTTCTAAAGCGTAAATGTAGCAGACTTATAACTAGGATGGATGACATGAACTAACTCTTCTTTTCCAGGTTTATTTTGACGAAGTCGTCTTGAAAATCAGTAACAGCTTCACTAACGAACCATCCATTTCACAAAAATCATTTGGAATTCAAGATACTGTTGGTCCTATTACGAACATACTAGTGAAATAAAATTTGATCTTGGCTATTTTTATCACGTTTCCTTTTCTATAGGTGTATAGTTTTAGTTTATTCATGTGTTTCCAACTTTTAAGCAACGAGCGTAGGTAACGTTTGATTACACATGAAGCAACCTAATCATGGTGCGTAGTTATTCAACACCAGCTTTTTACTGACCAGTGTACTCATTACATTTAAACATATTGACATACTGAACCTATATATTGGCACGTTCATACACAATTCAGACAACTAATAATTCGTTATCAGCGAATTAGACTATAGGACAGATTTAGGACATTTGCCTCATTTTGTGTACTATTAAATAATTTTGAAGTAGTAATGTTAAGTAAATGACACAACGTTGTACCTATTTATTTTATGATAGAAAAACGAAAATATACTCATAGTTATTCTTGGTGTTGATGATCGACTTTTAATCACTTATCTTGGGTGGATTACCTCGATACTGCTACTAAGTCACAAGTTTTTACGTAAGGTGAATGGCATTCAGGGTTTGTAATGAAAGATTCTTGGAGTGAACATCCACATTAAACTGAATTTAAATCCTACTGACGAGTCCCAAATCAGACGAAACAAGCTATTCATTGCTATCTACTATGCATACGTAGTTAGATACTTATGACATTTATAACATCAAAGTGATCCACCCCTTAGGATGCACTTATCTCCCAAGGGACTAATCAAAATTCAATCTTGAACACCTAAAAGAAAATAGTTCACTTAGAAATAAACAAATAATTAATGATCAAAGAAGAACCAAAGATATGTCAGTTGTACGTAATTGCCGCTAAACAATACTTGTTTGTTGTTTTCTTACCGCCGTTTGATATGCTTTGAATTAAAGTTTATTATAACTACTTAATAAATTGGTGGAAAATTCTCTCATTTTACGAATAACATAAACCATCTGTTAAACACTGGTGACTTGGATTAGAAAGATTTACGGAGATAAATAATCAGTATTAGTCTAAGAATTAAAATAATTAAGGTTTTCAATTCAATAAACTTAGTTGCAAAACCATATCAAACAGCTGCCATGAACAGAAACATTTAAGTAGATACACATACTGGAAATAACTAAATTATTAAACCAGAGAAATATTAATGTTAGATTTTTAACAGACTTAGATTATGGTTGATAGTGAAATCCAGGACTTGCGTTTCGTTTTATTCCTAACTCGTCAACTTAGTTTAGACGCCGCACAGTGTCAATACTCGTATTAGGAATCTTAACTACTATTTATAAGTCAAGTGAGTTCTAAGTAAGACGGGAGGCATGTTGACGATTTCACTTTTAATCGTACTGCGAATAAGAGACAAACTTGTCTAGGTTTCTTTAGTATTAATTCACTTATATTCTAATGAATTTCAATATCCCTTATTTAAAATGTGTTATTTACGAATAAATTTATTAATTATCCCCTACACTGAGCTTTATTTTGAGTTAAAATATTAGCCTTAATAAAGTCTATGCTTGTTTTCGGTCATATATTTTATCAGTCTTAATCTAGTATCTATGGCTGTTCTTTCTCCTGTTGTTCGACCGAAAAAGCTAAAACAAATAACCCACACAAAGATCCTATAGTCCTTAGGAATGCGAAATGACTCAAAGCTATGGCTAGTGGAGTGTCAGGAGTGAGACAGTTAACGACCAAAGGCAATAAATAACAATCGCGACAAATCTTAGATTAACAAAAGTTGGACAATAACATCATTACATGCCAGTTCAGCAGTCCATGATTAAGTCTTTGCATGCAAGATTGAAGGATATGTGTGAGTGTGATTCCTGCATGTGCGTTTGCTGACATGCAATGTCGAGGAGTCCCATATTAACACGTAACGATTGTTTGGCGCTTCTACGTTTTCAATAATAGTCTAACATTGATCAGTTCATGATTTCAATGAAACTCAACATGCTTCACAACCCTAAAAACTGATAATTATACTGCAATGTGAAATTTCATGAAATTATGCACTTCATATGGTAAACCATAATACTTAAAATCAAAACGTATTCATATTTTAACATATAATTCTACTAAAAATGATAATGAAAAAAATTTTATTGCATACTTACAATCAAAATATTTCTTTTCTATTTATTGTTAATAGACTAAGGTAACATTAAATTAAGAAAACGAATAGAAATTCAAACATTTTTCACATTTTGTATAGAATATCTTACTGAAGCTTGATGTATTTATTTAATATATTTGATCGTACGGAAAATGATTCAAAGTATTACCACAGAGTATGTAAGATTAATGAGTTGTAATGTTCACTTGACTGTAAGACAGAAGTGCCACCTAAAACACATGACTAAATTTCATTATTATTATTATTAATATTTCAGTAATTTTACTAACTTGAAAATCTTATTGCAGTAGAAAATTAATCACGTTTATTGAAAGGGAATTACATACCTGATACTCGATAACAGAAAATTAGATCAACAGAACTGAACACTGAGCATCAAGCTGACAGACTTTAAAAAATTCCAATACCTGATCATGCGATATCTTTTACTTAGTTTTCCTACTCAAAGGTGGAGACCCATAAACAGACCATGATAAAAACATATTACTACATAATACGAAACAATCAATATGTTAGGTTAATGAAATAAAAAGAAATTAGTTTTACTTACTAATTATGCTATTATATTTGGTTTAGCCGGATATCTTCAACTTCTCCTATTGATCAATGGTCACTGATCACTTCAGTAACATTTTGATAACTAGATCTTTCATATAAGTTCATTATCCAACCTTGAAACATAGACCAGATACGTTATTTACGTTATTTGATACTTTATATTCAGATATTTGACTGTTCAAGGCGAGAACACCAGTTAATAATATTATGGAATAAAACTTTAAATATCTACTAGTATAGAATGTAAAATATCTATCATTCGAGTATGAAGAAAAAGTACATTTTTATTTAAAAATTAAAACTGGTTCCAATTAGACACAACCACAAGATACATTTACTTACAAATAAATAATCTGAAATCATGAATCGATCAATTAGACCACCATTAGAATCCTGGAAGCACTGGACGGCCGTTTCGTTTTGGTATGGAACTCATCAGCAGTGCTTCCAGGTTTCTAATGGTGGTCTGACTTTTATCGATTCATGATTTCAAATGTGTAACTTAATAATCTTCACAATCACTTTATGCAATTACCCGTGCTCACTAGTCACTAGCTCCGTGAGGAATCTTCTCCGAGTTCCAGTGGGACGTTATGACCATTGAAGTTCAACCTGTTCAGGTATAGACAGTAACTACCAAAGACTGTGTATGAGGTTGCGCAACTTCGTGAATGGATTAAATTTAGACACTCACACCGTTAGATACCTGCTCAGTGGTCCGGAGATTAGGCGTTCGCTTGCAAGACCGAATGTCCTGGCTTCAAATCCTGTGGGTTGCAGGAGTTGTGGATACTCACTGCTGGTGAGTCCCATACCAGGACGACACGGTCGTCCAGTGGTTCCAGGTTTCTAATGGTGGTCTAACTTCGATTGGTTCATGATTTTAAATGTGTAACTTAACAATCTTCACAACCTTGTAATGAAACAAATAATCAGCTTAATGTTTATGAACCTTAACGGAGTTGTTTATGACCTTTTTTTCTTTAAACGATCACTCATTCAAAAATTACCATTCCATTCCACTATTGGATGATTTTGGCACCATCAGTATTTGATCTTAATAAAATGGGATAAAGTAGATTAAAAAAAGGTGATAAAATGCAAAGCATAAACATTTCCAAGATTCCAAACCTAAAACCTACCATTTTATTGACATTTATTTGCAAGGAATATTAAATCTATATTATATTATATATAGTTAGTTCTTCTCGAAGATTCCAAAATATTTTGAAAAATGTTATTCAGAAACATAAACATAATCTGTTCTATTCATATTTCTTGTCATTATCACATATAGGTAAACTGATTTAGGATATAAGAAAAAATATTCAAATTACTTGCGTTAAAATTATTAGTTGAATCATTAACTTTGTATTGGATAAGATTGTAAAACATCTCAATCGTCTAACTACCACAGAGTAAACTGGCTGAAAGTCAAAAATGCCTACTCAAAATTAATCAATTAAGCTACTTCTTTTGAAAAACACTCTTGGTCAAAGTGTTTTAAATTTAAATATTCACTAATTCAGTGTTAGTTAGATGATGTTCAATAATTTATGTAAAATTTACCGGATAAACTCAGTAGAATAATAAAGTTAGAGTTTAATGGAAATATAATCCTTCTTGCATTCACATTTGTCATGTCGCATTAATACGTACAACAACTTCACTGTAATATTATTTATTGTCTAACTGGTCAAGATTTAGTGGGTAGAATTTTTTATCTCAGCAATACTACTGATATCAAAAGTTTTATTTTCGATAAGCTATTTAACTGTAAAAAAAGAGAGACTTTCATATTACTTAGAAATTAACAGGCTGTTCACAATGTTAAGACACAATAATTTGTTCATTACCTCCAATGGAATTATTTCCCAAATGTAAAAGATCAGTTAGAAATGAGTTGACTGATAATTTATTGTATAGAGGAATTTCTTGTCTAAATTTCCAAAAAGCCTAGCTGTTACAAAGCATAGATATATTTTTCACGTATTATTAATAGATGAACACTGTGAGAACACCTAATAGCCTCAATCATTTTTTGCTAGATTATTTAACTGAAATCATGAAACAATTCAGTAAATTTTAAAAATTCACTGATATATTTCTGAATTTCTGCATTATTATATACTTTTTACGAATAGATAGAATGTCTCTTATTTTAATGGTGATTATCATTCTGGTCATTTCTTAAATCTTAATTTTACAGGATACGAAGCATTATATGCAACGAACTCTTGTTCGGCAAATTGTATACAATTGTGATCGATTTCAAACTGGTCCAATCCTTGGTGAAGTTTATTTGATAACAGGTTAGTTTAAGTCAACTAGGTAGTTTTTACTTTTTCACTGATGACTATTCACATTTCCTAATGTTTATTAATTCAAGTTTAAAACATGAATTTCAATTTCACAATTCCTTAGATATACTCAATCTTAAAGTATATGTTACTCAGTTCTTTGATATTTGTTTGAAACATCAACTTTGTCTGTTTAATTTCCATACATGATTCTATGGAACTTGACCTTCCGCAACAAAGAAAGTAAAAGCATTTATTATTATTAATTTTTAAATTAACCAACATTAACAAACCATGTACGATGTAATGAATTCAATTTATGTAGTACAGTTCAAATCTCCCACGTACACACTGGGCGGTTTAAATAAATAGAAAAATGTAATGCAAATGTAATTTTCTGTGTATAACTTATAAAGTCATCTAATTTACTAGTGAAAAAACAAAACTAAAATTACTGTCCATATTCACAAAATTTTATCTTGTAGACGTACAAATTAAGTCAGCATGAAACTGTAATGTAATCAGCCACGAGAAATGCGTGTATTTTGTTATGATTACCTCAGGCGAACTATTGAAATTGATATTACTTACAATGAAATGATGGTAAAGTTACAATAACCACAGTGGTATTTTTAATAATAATTGAACGCCGTATGAAATGATACAGTTGCTTATATATCTCCAAATTGATCAATTTTCAAAGGTTTTATTACATGGTATCACAATAACAAAACTGATTAGAATTACCGTGAGTTAAGAGTTGAAATTTGACTAAAATAAACAATGAGGTTATTATTTTGACAAAATGAAAATGAAAAATACTTGTAAGAAAATATAGTTTGAATATACAAAATTTTCTAACAACTATTTTAAAAACTCGAGATGGAAGAAACAAGGGTAGGTTCACACTGAATCGATAAATATCATGATGCCTAGTGTACAAATTAAAAAGTCGAGCAGCAATCCATTTCTTATTATGGCTACACATTGATATACACAATCTAGAAAAAATAATACAACTATTATCAAATATCTGATGTTTCAATCTATTCATGAATGATTTTACACAATTTGAAATAGTTACAGAGTGCTTGAATAAAGTCTCTTATTAAAGCTTTAAAAATTACTTCTATTGTGAAATTTAGAAGAAAAAATATCTCGAAATTCATCAGTGAAAATTATGTATTTTTAAAGGTAAATAATTATTTTGACTAAAGTACGATGAAATAAATCATTCTGAACAAATGTCGTTGTTAACAGGTATCTTCTAATCGACTGTTTACTATTTACTTCATGTAAAACATACTAAAAGTTTTGTAAAATTTTTCATAGTGACAAGCATAATATCGACAGTTGAATATTATATATCTTTCAATGATTCCTAAACGTACAACGGCTTTTAGCAGTCCTGCATCAGAAAAATACTTTTGTGTATAGTTGCCTCCACATTTAAAGATATCCACATAAAAAAATAGGCATTTTTTTTACTGAAATCTGTCAATAATCATTGTCAAATGTTGCAACGAACAGTGACATTTAATAACTAATAACTTCGATTGTGTATGTCATGATATACAATTATGGGAAAAGGTAATGAAATAAAAATTCATTTTTAATGTGATCACGCTACGAAATTTTATGAGAGTGTTACAAGAGGGTGTCTTATCTTAACTCCTTGATCAATTCTATTCGAATTAATATAGACTGGTAGATAATTGTGTGTATAGAATGAAACATTTTGTTTCAGGAGTTTCAAAATCATTTTAGCATTGCTGCCATTTGATACACAAATAAACTTAACAAGATATCTTACGAAGACAGTTAGAATCATCTATTTATATGTGTTGTTAATAATTTATTTTTGCTGTGACTCCTCGTAGAGCACAGGCCATTGATGAGAAATCCAAGTGGCGTTACATACGAGAATGCCACTGAAAAATAGGCTTCTTAAAACAGAATAACCAGAAACAACATGAAACGAACATTTGCATTCATTAATTAGAAGCCTAGAAACATTAAAAGTTTGCAGGAATCCGCTGCTCAAGGGGATTCGAATCACTAGCTTGACAGAGATTGCGGTGAATCAAAGATGATTGTACGAGGAATGTTACAATTTGACTGAAATAAAACAGCCTTCCTTTTTTCTGAGATCAAAACAACAAACTATATTAAACGTTAAACGACTAAGTTAACAAAAATATAAGTGATTTCTACTAAAAGAAAACAGCGTAAAGTCTAATCGAGATTCAATGTCGTTTATCAAACAACGAGTAATGTTAACAAATTATTCTGTTTTCATTCTTCACAATTTATTGTGTACTAATAATAATTTAATGTGATTTTGTGCTTCACAAAAAGCAACTCAAAACAGTATAAATTTTGTTTCCATTAATAGGTGGTTGGGACATGTGCTGCCTCGACCAGCTTTGTGTTGTAGTGTAGGAGTAGGTTGGGAGAGAGCTAGGGGCGGCCAAACCAAAACATGGCAGAAATCCATGAAGTCATTGACGAATGGACTTAGCCATGTCGGTAATTGTCGACTACCTGGTTGGGGTCCGCGAGATGATAATAATCGATGGTTAGAGACCTTGAATGACATGGCTCAAAATCGTTCGCAATGGCGCCGGTGCATTTATTCTTTGTGTTCTCTCAAATCCTAATCTTCTGGATTCTTCAACAACTCTAGTTTTGACTTTCTTAACTTATCTCACTGAATCATACTTATTTAATAATGTCTTTTAATCCTAACGTCTCCCATTACTGCTAATACCTTTCTAGCTCTACTACTATTGGATTTGAATTGACAATTACATCCCTGTGCTAATGTGGTACGGCCACATGAACTGATGTACTTACGTACGAAGTTCTACGTTGCATCTGACTGACTGACTGACTATTTTCATTAATTCACAGGGGCATATTTCTTAACAATTGCATATTGCGATATCGATATTCAAACACATTAGGTTGTTTTTTTTAACTGCAATTATGATGTGAAAGAAGCATTGCACAAACGCATTAGATTGTGAAATTCATAAATGTCATAATACAATGCAGATAATTGAAACACTTCATTCTGCTTAGTGCACTCATTGTGACGTAAGCTTTTGTGATTTTATGGCGAATTTACTACTGTTCAGTAGTTTTCAATTGATAACAAATGGATGTTCGCTATATCAAATAGATTGACGTTATTAATGTCTGCCAAAAACATTTGTTTTGTTACTTTAAATAATGGACAGATTAGTACTACTAAATGTATAAAAAGTAATAAAACATTTTTCCTAGAAAATATTGTTTTGATTTGTATTGACAGTAAACAAAATAAAATCTGACTTTACACAATTATGCTTAACGAATACTTAGAAAGTATTGAATCGTTCACTAAAGTAAAGTACTTGTAGAAATCTGAAAATATGCATTTATCAATTGATATATGCATCAGCCAGCATATTTCGTTACTTGTTTAAATAAACAATAAAATGAACGATGTAGTGTGGTTGCATAAAAAGGAGGTCAGGCAATCAATGTGGATAAGATTATTTCGAAATGAACAAAGACAACTTTAGTTGAACATGTTATAACATGTTTATTGTAAAACGTTTATAAGACTAATTGTTAAATACAAATACCTACGGTCAGTAAATCAGTCAGCTAAAATGTAGAACTTTGTACGTACTTACATCAATACAAATAATCATACCATGATAGTTGAGGTTTCATAAGAGGTAATAGGAAAGATGAAGGATCGAAGATAAGATCTGAGAAAACATAAACCAGTGAAATAGATTTCAAAATAGAAAACGGTCATAAAGGATATAGAATATTGGAATTCAAAAGAAGACAAAGACTCGATGCAACTGCAAACGATTTTGATCTATGTTATTCAAAGTTTCTAAACATTGGTTAGGATCGTCTCGCGAGCTCCAACCAGGTATTCTACATTTATTAATATGGTTCAGTTCATGTGTCAATGACTTCACCGATTTTAGTTTGACCGCCATCCGCCTAACCCAAGATTAGACCAGATTGTTCGCCAATGTAACTGGTGACTAGGTAAACGCCACACATTTCCCAACCACCTTGACTAACAAAGACTCAGTACCTCAATAAGTGCCATCCTTACCTAGTAACCGTTTCTTAACACCAGCATTGCTTACTCGGTGGTTACAGGATATACGAGCTTCGAAGACACTTATGACTTATTAACAGTAACCTACGAATTTCTTCTACTCTCAGAAGTGACATTCGCAGTCACACCCTCAACAGCACACGAGTTCAACCTGCTCATAATCAAACCGTTCGCCCATCTCTTAAAAACTTCCTTATCTCCACGGCTAACGTTTCACACATTAATTTATCACCGAATACACGAATAGTTATTTCTAGTCTCCTGAAACCCAGCTATGAACTGCATGTTGGAGCTTTTAAAGTTCAAAACTTAAGCCCGATAAGACAACAGGTTTCCTCAACTAGAGCTTTAAACCTCGTGTCATCGATGTATGTTTTGTCTCAGAAACGTTCAAACAGAATCCAAGTACAATCATTCGTTTAACCTTACCTTGTCAAAATGTGAAACCATAATTATTTGCGCCTTAAGCATCTGGAAGCCTTGATTGCTGCTTCCGGTAGCCTCGCTGGTGTCGTTACAACATTAAGTTCAGAAGTAGAACAAGCTTTCTTAGACTAGATTTCTTTCTTAAAGATATTCGATTATATTGACGTGTTTAAATCACATAAAAACGCTTCACACAACTGATTCATTTTCCAAATGTTTTCCACTACGTTTTAAGCAGAATCGGATTGTGAATAACAGTGAAAACCATGACGCATGTTCTGTCCTATTTGTAAATCATCAGTCAGACGAACCTGACAGTGTTTTTATTTGCATCAGGGGTCGAACTCAATACTTTTAATATAAAAAGACAAATATATTGCCTACTGAAGACCGACAGTCATTAGTTTGTATAACAAAGTGAAATTTGACCTGTTAATAAGGGTTGCGTATCTTA